GAGCTCCACCCAACCTGGCTCGCATTTGCTGCCCTTCGGGAGGATTCCTGACATGTCGTGCCGGGATTACAGATTTAGCGCTTTTTGCAAGGGCCTTGGGATCCCGATCATGCCAATTCCATCACCAAGAATAGAAGGGGGTGCGGGAATTTCGAGATTGTTGGGTCGAAGGCTTCTTTTGTGGGGGTTCGAGGTTCGGGTGCAAGCGATTGAACACATCCAGGCATACGCACATGAATACATGCATGCAAACAGACACATACATATGGGCATACAGACATACAACATGCCACACTGCTATATTGCGCTACACTACCTCGCAGGCACATTACACCTCACTATGCAATGTATTGCATTATTCTGCTTTTTGAATGCATTACTCTACACTACTACAGTATGCTCCTCATGTTGCAGTACCTTACACTCCACTACACACATGCATACACCTTTAGCAAGCAAACGACATGCTGGGTAGGTTGACACATGTACCTATGTGGCATGGGGCATCCCTGATCACCTCGATTGTTGCAGCGAACAAAAGCAGGACGGAGTCATGGTCTGCTGGGGATCTCCCCACTTCGGCGGAGATGCTTCTGCAGTTCTCCGGGACGCACTTAATGTAGAGGCCTAAAAACTTGCCAATAGTATTCCTTAGGCTTCCTTACCATAACTATAGAATGAAGGAGCCCGAAGCCCTATTCTAATTGTCAAGGCACCTACGTTATGTTGTAGGTACTGGCGAGGCTTTCGGGCAAGGAGGACTCGAAACCTTAAACTAGGGGAGGTCGCAGCTGTCAAGGAGGTGTTTCCATTGGGGTTGTCTAGGTTGGATACGTGTCCGTGCGAGTTCTTGTTGTGTTCAACTGCGACATCACCCGGGTGAATTTCGGATTTAGTGCAGAGTTTTTGAGGGTACCGTGCTACAGTGAGAGTGATTGAGTTCGCTGCATTTTAGGGGTTAGGGGTGTATGTGGCATCATGGCTTCAAAGGTTCAGGGTTGGGGCCCTACCCGAAAGTCTAGTGCTTGGCTTTGACCTGCTACGCCTCCCTAAACTCTGCATCCTGTAGAAATCTTAAACCCGAAATCCTGACCTCGTGTCAGGTTCAAGAGCAGCTGACGGGCGTGCGCCAGATCTGTGCTGCCAGTCGCGCCTTCGGGGCCATCCGGCAGGATGGATCTGCCGCGCGGCGGAAGTGGGGTACGGCTAATTTGGATTTCAACGGATACCCTAAACCCTAAACCCAAACCCTAGTCCCTTATGAGCTTATGTTGTTTGGGTGGGTTCCGAAATTTTCACCAAGGCTTGATGGGGTTTTGAGGGTTCAGGGGCCTGCTGGGCTGTGAGGTCTGTCTCCAGTCGTAGCGGACTGAGTAGGGTTGTAGGCCGTTTAGGGTTCAGGGGTTTTGGGGTTGAAGGTCTACAGTAGGCTTGTAGGGTGTTGACTACATCCGTTCGTCTCCCTGGAACCGAAAGCTGATCTCGTCAAAACTTGATTTCAAGGCGCGATGAGTATGGGATTCCAGATTGCAAGGTCTTTGCAGTGCGACAGGCTTTCTGAACCAAAAGTGCCCAAGGTAACAATTGGTATTGGGGCCAGGTTTCAGGGCTTACCGGGTAGCAGAATCTAGCAAACCCTAAACCCTAAACCTTGAACCCTAAAACCTAGACCTGAAACCCTGAACCTTAAGCCCTAAGCCCTAAGCCCTAAACCCTAAACCTAAACCTTAAACCCTAAACCTTAAACCTTAAACCCTAAACCAGTTCTTTCGATTTCAAGGCAAACTGAACAACGATGTGGAGCCACAGAACTGCCAAAGCCTCGAAAATTCCTATCCTACACCAGGCCAAACTTCAAACCCAAGCCCCTAAGAACCTCTTCGAACCCCTCTGGATCCTTAACTTACCTTTGGTTAGTAGGGAATGGAAGAGTAATAGTAGTTATGAGTGTACCCCATTCCCCCATTCCCGACTAACCAAAGGCAAGTTAAGCAGCCGTAGATTCCCTGAACCCTGAAATCTTGGCGAAGCGAAGGTCGTGGCTTGGGGCGACGGTTTCTACGGAGGCCTCTGCTCTGAGAATCTCGTTTCTCAGTGGCCAAGACCCAGAGAGCCCGATACCCCTTCATTAAGGAATATGGCTTAAACCTAAACCCTAAACCCTAAAACCCTAAGCCCTAAATTATATAGGGCTTCATATTATGATTTAAGCTACATTCCTTAATTAAGGGGTATTGGGCTCTCTGCGGAATATAGTTCCTAGCATGCCACGCCGAAGGTGACTGCAGCCAGGTGCAAGAGCAGCTTACCAGTGTGCAGCAGCTGGTTGCCACAGAGTGCCTTGGCAAACGGGCAATGGGCTTCAGCCTTCAGGCAGCCAACCTCCTGAATTATGTTGTCCAGCAGCAGAGGTCTTCCAGAACTTGGGCGGTAGGGAGTGAAGTACGTATCAGTTGATCTTGAGATGGAACAGCCTGAGCGCGCCCACGAAATGACCTCGCACCTGAACCCCTGCCTATGCGGCGACCTGTTTGTGGTCGGCAAGTCAACCCATCCTTGCCTTTAGCGTTTGGCGGTGTGGATTTTGTAAGCCTTCACCACAAGAGCCGGCCTGGAGCACCCTGCGACAAGCGGGCTTTGTGTGGCAGACTGTCACTAAACCCTGATATAAGCCGTAAAAACACCCTGCTGAAAACCCTATAAGCTTGATTTTGAACCTTGTAAGCTCTATAAGCCTGCGAGCATACCATGCACACCGAGCTGAAGAGCTAGGCCCGGTGGGTGCCGTCTAGTTTTGGCAGTGAGGTAAGGTTCATATGTGATTCGATGTGTAGTACATAAGGGTTCCTCAGGAATGTCGTTGAGCTTATCTTCGGCGTGTCCTTTGGGGAAGACTCATAGGACAAGCCCTACTTCACCTGCCCAAATGGCCCAAAGTCCCTAAACAAGTAGAACGTAGGGTTTCTATACTAGGCACTACTATAGGAGTCATAATGTCGAGTTTGTCATCTTAGGAAGTGCTATAGGAATCATAATGTATCAGGAGGTACTACTACCCTCAACCCTAAGCCCAATAACAGTACCCGGGGACACTATGGGCGCAAGACCTTCCCTTCTTATATCTTGTGGCCCATCCGCAAGTAGTAGAGTAGGTAACCTTTAACCTTTTTTGGGTAGCATCGTCCCCAGATAATCCCTATAACCAAAAAGGTTATACCCGACAAGCACGATCCTCCCTGACAGTTGCTAGTTCTCAAAGTTAGTTTGCCAGTGCCGTGTGGGTTTAGGGTTTAGGATCCTCGGGTCCTAAAAGGTAGTTCTCCAAGCCTTGGCTTTGTTTAGTAGGGAATGGAAGAATGGTAGTAATAGCAGTTCTAATTGTACCCCATTCCTCCATTCCCTACTAACCAAAGGTAAGAAGTTAGGGTGCCAGTGCCGTTTCAGGTCCCCAAAATACTACGGCACCCTTCTGAGAAGGACCTTGAAGGGGACCCTATTTGGCAGTTTCCGAAAGTTCGGGGTACCTTACTTTGGGGTCCTTATAATAAGGATCCTACTATTGAGTGTACAAAATTAGGATCTCCCATTTTCGGAAACTCCCATTTTATGGAACTGCCCAGTTCTGCGTTTGCCGCGCGCCGGGACGACGGCACCGTGGTAACCTGGGGCAATCAGGGCGGCGACAGCTCGCTGGTGCCTGGGGCCTTGATTGGTGCTCCCGAGTTCAACGTCTGGGACTGATATAGGGGCCGTAACATAATTAGAAGAGGCTTTCGGGGTATATCAAAAACTAGAATCAGTATAACAGGAACTCCCAAAACCCTATTCTAGTTATCAAGGTCCCTACATTACAGGTCTATGGTTTGTGATTTTAGGACTGTACCCTAAGTTATGTGTTCTTCCCATGCTGATTCGGCATACTCAATAGACTCCGCCGAACCATCAACTACTTGTCCCTTATGATGGTCTCCTCTCACCATACTGCTGATGGACAAAATACTGCATGACCCTAAGGGCCCTAAAGTATGGGAATTATGGTATATTCCTTATTATGGATCATGCAGGATTTTGTCCATCAGCAGTATTATTACCTTTTCTAACACCACGGAAATGGGGGGGGGAAAGTCATTATCTCGATCTGATGGACAGGCTTCTGCTGCAAGCATGTGGGGGGAACGCAACAAAGACGTTCAGAAATGGCCATCAAATCTCAGTGGAGCTGTGTTTTTCAAGGCCTTGCCATGTTGAAGACCCACTACCGTAAAACGTGAGGCATGGGTTAAGGACGACTTGAGCTTTTGTCCGTACTTTGGGTTATGACGACAAATGATGTTAAGAAACGGTGCCGGCTTCAATCTAAAGTTTCTCGACACCTCCGAGCGCTTACCCTCCGTAAAGCTTGTTACAAAACTCAATCAGGGCTGACCCCAATCCCTTGCCCCGAACCCCCGAGCATGAAAAGCCCGAAATATAAGCCTTGCCCCAAACCCCTGAACATGAAGAGCCCTAATTAGAACCCTAAGCCCTTCACCCTAAACGCCTAAACCCTAACAGAACTTGCCTGCCCTTTTCGCCGCAGACTCCCAGGTTCGCGAGGAGCTTTCTGCAGTGCGACACCTCTACTCCGCGGGCGATGCCTTCGCGGCCCGTCGCGAGGCGAAAGCGCAGAGGGAGAGTAGGCTGTGCGCTTCTTAGTAGGTTCCTTTAAGGGTTACTATGAGGGGCGCAGAGGAAATTTCGCCACTTTGACTGGCCAGGCAAAGCCTGTCTGGTTCTGAGAAGGGAATGGGGTCCGATCCAGGGCTACTATAAGGGTTACTATGAGGGTTACTGTAAGGGTTGCTACAAGGGTTACTACAAGGGTTATTACATTTATAAGGGTTACTATAAGGGTTATACTATTGGGGTTTAGGGTTCTTATGATTAGTAGGGATTGGTGGAAAGGATCCCTACAGAAGTCCCTACAAAACCACAATAGTAGTCTCCATACCCCATTCCCCCGTTCCCTGCTAAGAACCAGACAGTAAAACCCGAAGCCGGAGATCACTTCCTTAGACAGTCACTTAAAGGATTATGGGGCTTAGTACTGCTGATGGACAAAATCCTGCATGACCCTAAGGACTCTAAACTATGGGAACTATGGCATATTCCTTATAATGGGTAATGCACAGGATTTTGTCCATCAGCAGTATCTTGGGTTGTTATCCGAGTAACTATACTTGTAACCCCAGTTCGGGTACTTATAACCCTACTTACCAAGTCCCATGATCCTCCAAGCATGAGTACAGCACAAGGCTGCAAGGACCTTCATTGGTGCGACGATAGGTACCTTGCGTGTAACCCCTTCACGAGTACGCATGAATCCCCAAGCAGTCCAAGTAGGCATCGTGAGAGTATGCCGCAAAGAGGATGGCTCCATTGTGACCTGGGGACAACGTCGCCGTGGAGGCGAGGCTGCAAGTTTGAGATGCCTACTCTACAGCTCCACACATGGGTAGTTGTCAAAATTAAGGTCCCTTTTCGGGTACCCGAAATATTAGGTGCCGTATTATATTAAGGGCTCAAAAAGGGACCATAATTTTGACAACCACCCACATGAATCTGAACCGCAAAGCGATACCCCCGAGCAAGAGCACCGAGATACTGCAGGAACGGAAGGTTCAATGAACGGCCTCCATCGTACTGGTCCCGAAACTGCCAAATCGCTGCATGAAGGTTTCTGATTCCTAGTAGTAGAGCAGGTAAGCTTGAACCTTTTTTGGGTAGCATAGTCCCTCTATCATCCCTATATAGCCAAAAGGGTTAACCTTCAGTTCCCCATGATACCCGACAAGTAGGGATTCACCTCGTTGGAGGTTCAGGGATCGAGGTTCTCATAAGAAACTTTCCTTCATCAAAGGATTTTGGATGCATGGGATTGTCTGACCCTTCCAACCTTTGTATTCCGTGGAGAAAGCCTACATAGTTAAAGCGCAAAAGCATGGCAGACAGGATGAAAGACTGCAACGACCAGACTTGGGCCCAGATGGCATAGACACAAACCAGGACTAGGATCTCCAGTAGTACCCTTATTCCCTTTTTGTAGTCCTAGGTTCCTTATAAAGTTACCCAGTACCAAAAAGAGAGGCCTTTTTATTCTTAGGTTACTGGGTATCCTAGACCATGACTAGCAGCAGAGATGACGACGATGTTGGCGGTTGTCGCACCGACGTATCGGGGTTCGGCTTTTGTTGTTGTGCTCCATGTGGTGGTGCCGAGGGTGCGCCTTGCGTCTTTGTAAAGTCGAGCTAGACCATGACGATTTTAGATATCGCCTTAGGATTTAAGGTTTAGGACTTAGGGATTAAGGTCCTGGCGGTTCTCATGTCCATCATAGGATGTATGCCTGGTCGTCTAGATGAGTTTAGTCAGCAAGAAAAGTACAGGATCACGAATGTGCTTACGACGATCAGACTCAAAATGTGAGTTGCTGCGATCTAAGTGAGCACGGGTATTTGCTAATCTTTCCTCGGGCTTCAGGGTTGTTGTGCTTAAGATTCTGGGCAATCTGAATCCCTATCCCTCCAAGGACCTCATAGTTAGGGCACTAGACCCCTTAAGGACCCCGTAATAAGGTCCCTAAAACTTACCAATACTATTCTGGGGGCTCCTTATTGTACATATAGTATAATATAACACCAAATCTTATTCTAGTTTTCGTGGCTTTAGGACGAGGCATCCAAGGTTCTGTGGATTCGATGAGTTGCTTGGCTTGGTTCCCATGCAGCTCTGAACCACAGCATCCCCAGATCCTCCCCCCGCGACACCTCCAGGTCCCAGAAACTGAAAAATTTAGGCTTAGCCGAGTTTAGGGTTTAGGGCTTATGGTTCATAGCCCTGTTCAGGGTTTAGGGTTTAGGGTTACAGGTTCAGGGTCTAGGGTTTAGGATTACAGGTTTAGGGTTTAGGGGGCCTTAGCGGTTTGAGTCTGTTCACCGAGAAAGCCAGCACATGCAGCTGCAGGTGATTCCACGCACGTGCAGTCACAGCTGCGCAACGTCCAGGACATCAAATCCACAGAACCTTGGATGCCTCGTCCTGACGCCACGAAAACTAGAACAAGATTTGGGGTCATACTATACTATGATTACAATAAGGAGCCCCCAGACTAGTATTGGTAAGAATTTAGGCCCCTAGGCTCAGCGAGGGTCTGTTTAGGGTTGAGGGTCGACTAGGGGCTTGGGAGCAGAGAGAAGTGTCCCAGCCGTTTTTTGCAAGTCAGGTCCTGGGTGTGGTGTTGCCACCCGCTTATGTTACTGACCTTTTAACGATAATTGGGGTACGTACAACCTGACTTACTAAGTCCCATGATCCTCCAAGTATCCCAATGATGAAGGCCCTTTGGTATTCGAGGCTAGCGACTATCTCAACGCTGTCTTTGCGAATGAGGTCGGAGTCCTGAAGAATGGAATTCGACTCATCGGGTTAAAATTAGGTTCCCCAGTTGTGACCTCATTCTAATCTTTCCATGGTTAAAACTTTAAAGTTGGGGTCAACAGGTTCCGATGAAGATGCTGGCGATGGTAAATTCGTGTGCAGAGGTCAGCAAATGACAGGATGATGGATCTGTCCACATCAACTCGATTTGCCATCGGGTTTGGGTTGCCAAGCCACAACCGCAAAAATCCCTACAGACCCAACCCCTACCCCAGGTAGATCGGTGCAGCACCCTAAACCCTAAAGAGCTTGAGGCCTTAATCCGGAATCTGAAACCCCAACCCTGAATCCTCAAACCCTCAAATCCTAAATCCCACAAGTCCTAAACAGACCAAGGAAGCCAACTTCGCGGCGATTTTGGAAGACGGCTCCGTGATATCTTGGGGTGAGCTCTGGGTGTTCCGAGATGACGGCAGCATCTTCCCTGAGCTTAGACTAGGTACAGGTTTTCCGGGCTTTCCTTAGGGGTACTTGGACATACTTTGTTGTTTGGGGTTTCTATAATCCCTAAGAAACCGTCTAAGCTTAGTATGTTTTAAATTTTAGTATCGTTGACAGTGTTTATCCAGAGTTTTGGGGGTTTGGGCGTTGTCGTTCAGGGCTTCCGGGCTCCAAAACGGGTTCCTTTAAAGGGATCTATAAGGGATCTATAGGGTTTAGGGTTTAGGGGACTCCAAAACCCCTTAATTAAGGAATATACCTTAAAGTATAATAGGATCCCTAGTATGATTTAAGGTATATTCCTGAAGTGAGGGTTATTGGAGTCCCTGGGCTTCCGGGCTCCGGGTTAACATGTGGTCCCTGTCCCACAGGCCTGAATCTCTCAACCCTGCGCCCTAAGCCCTCAAACCGTAAACCCTAAACCCTAAAACCATAAACCCTAAAACCAACAACCCTAAAGCCTAAACCCTAGAGCCATAAACCGTAAAACCTAAAGCCATAAACCCTAAACCCTAAGCCCTTAAACCATAAACCCTAAAGGCCCTAAACCCTAAACACCGAAGCTTTACTTCCAAAGTTCAAAACGATGCCAGTACTCGAAGTTGAAGCTCCCCCCCCACGCCACACGAAGCCGAAGTTGTGAGAACATTAAGTTGTCCAGCCAGCACAGGCGCCAGAGACTCCAAGATCTCCTAAGTAAGGAATATACCTTAAATCATAAATTAGGGATCCTGTTTTTTAAGATATATTCCTTCATTAAGGGCTATTGGCTATTGGAGTCCTTGGGCCCAGTACAGCGTGTGTTTATGGTTGGCCGGCGAGTTTTGGTGCTGGTGTTGAGGGTGCACGTAAGCCCTAAAGCCCAAATTTCCTCAATGCGTGAATTAGGTGAACACCAGACAGCCCAATACACCTTTATTGGGGACCGTTCTGTGGATCATAATTTTAAGCTCCTTTTCATTTCAGGTACACTCGTTTTCAAGAAAGAACTTGAAAATGGCCATAGCCTTCATCTCTATGGTTGATTTGATTACACGGAGTTCCTGCAGTTTGTCAAGCCGGATTCTAGAGTCCTGTCTTTCGGGTGAAACTGATTGTTAAAGAAAGGCTCCATAGGAATCTGAACAACCCGTAAGACTATTCCGGCTATTCCCTTCTAGTCCCTGTTTTAAGTAAGTTAGAAGATAGCACAAATCCCTTTTCGAATGAAGTATTCAGGCCAAGCCCTACAAGCCCTATAAGAAAGGGACCTGAATCAATACCTATACTGCCTCGGGGGTTCCTGATTACAAGTATGGTGCTATAGGCCCCACAACCCTCTTGAAACTAGTAAGGCCCCTACAGTATAGAACCCTACTATAGATCCCTTATAGACCCCTTCACAGGACCCTTCAAAGGGAACCCTATTGAAGGCCCCTATACTACAAGCTCTGGAACTCACAGGTTCCCTGCAACCGCCATCTGATTTGATGGGGGTGAAGGACTCTGTCATAGTTGGGTAACATTTTACCTTTTTTATGGGTACTTAATCCAATAAGAAATAAAAGCGTAAGGTTTTAATCTATGCTAACCATGAACTAGAGGAGCTGGTGGCCAACTTTGGCGCTTATGCTGCTCTCAAGGAGGCCTGGAGGGCTTCACGTACGGTTGATGATATAAATCCTGCATGACCCATAATAAGGAATATACCATAATTCCCATAGTTTAGGGCCCTTAAGGTAATGCAGGATTTATATCATCAACCGTATGAGGGCCCTTGGAATTGTTCCATAGTGTCCCAAAACCAGGCATGGTCATTGCGTAGCAGTACTGAAATTTTCAAAATAAAAAAACTCTCGCTGGGTGGAGTATCGTGTGTGAGGGTCTTGGGTTTCCGTTGGCCGGGGATGCAGGGCTGTACCCATTCTGGAGTTTAGCCGTTTGCAGGAGTGAAGATGAAGGGTGGTCTACGGGGTGAGGGTGAGCCGCTGCATCTTCAAGCAATCCTGGGCACCTAGTCAGCCCAGAGAGCGTAATTAAGGAATATACCTTAAACATAATGCTAAGTCCCCTATAGTTTACGGTATATTCCTCAATTAACGGGTGCAGGGCTCTCTGGGAGGTTTGGGGAAAGGCTCCTAAGATGAGAGGGGAACCAAGGCGATAAGGTTCCTCCACTTTCGTCGTGCGGCCTGTAGCTGCGGTTGGTTTAGGTTTTTAGGGAAACAGGATGTTACCACGTTATACTATAGATCCCTACTATGGTAACTTAAACCTTGCACCCTAAACCCTTAAAGGAACTCTTATAGATCCCCATTCTGGTAACTTAAACCTTAAACCCTTAAAGGAACTCTTATAGATCCCTGTTATGATAGGGTTTAGATGTTAAAGGGTTGTAGCCCGAAGCCTGGAGTGCTGCTCTCAGTGGAGATGAAGCCTTGGTGCAGGACGGCTCAGTGATCACCTGGGGTGACAGCGCATTTGGGGCGGACAGCACAGCAGTTCAGCAGCTTTGACCCGCATTTACTATATGGGTCTTATTATGTATAGTAGCCCTATTACCTTAGGGGTACTTAGAAATCGTTTTTAATCTGTGGTTATTATAATCCCTGAGAAACAGCTAAAATTACAATTTTTGCTAGGGTTCCAAGTTCAGTAAAGTTACGGGTTCCTAAAATATCTGTATTAAAGAACCCAGTCTCATTCTTGAGGCCTCTATACATTTGTTACGATTGGAGAACCCGATGACGCCAACCCCTCCACCCCAAAGCGTAAACCGTCCCTAAACCTCTAAACCCTAAACCCCTAAACCCTAAACCCAAAAGCTTAGCCCGGCTTCGTCCTTCGAGGCGGGTCCGGGCAAGAAGAGGAAATGAGGTCTCACAGAGACCCGTAAAGGAGCCCTTCTATCAAGAACAAGTACAAGAACCCTGCTCCCTATAAACCTTGAAAGGAGCCCTTATATGAAGGCCATAAACCCTAAACCCCAGAAGCCCTTAGTGCCGTAAACCTTATCTATATTTTATTTACTTATTTGTATACATACTTATATATAGAAACCTTTAAAGGGAACCCTTATATCAAACCCCCAAAATTCCTCGATTCCCAGGTCGCAGCTCCGCGACATCCGCGCTCTGGTTGCCTCGCATGCGGCCTTCGCTGCGATGACCGCCGAGGGCTCCGTGATCTCTTGGGGAGATCCCATCTGCGGCGGATACGTGGCCTGGGAATCATAGGAGGCCCTTTTGGTACTTAGAGGCCTGGGGGATTTAGTAAGTCGGTTATAAGTAGGGTAATACTTAGGGTAACTCAATTTAGGGTGCTTACAACCCTACTCATAACCTAGTTACTAAGTCCCCTGGGCCTCTAAGTAAACCCAAAACTCATAGGAGGCCAAAAGGGGTTTTAGCCTATGGGGGTTTTAGTAGGAATTGGGGTTCCCATAATGGGGTTCATATGAAGGAATCCCTACCCCAAGAATCTGAAACCCCCCTTTTGGCCTCCCATCAGGGAAGCATTATAGTATATTGTATCATACATTACAGCACATTGTCGTATATATATATATATATAATAATAATAATAATAATAATAATAATAATAATAAATATAATAAAAAAAAAATAATAATAATAATTAATAATAATAATAACAATAATAATAATATCAATAATAATAATAACAATAATAATAATAATACTAATAATAATAATATGAGTATTAATAATATTAATATTAATAGTAATATTAATATTAATATCAATATTATTAATGTTAATATTAATATTATGAATAATAATAATAATAGTAATAATATTAATAACAATTATAACAATAATAATAATACAAATAGTAATAATAATAATAATAATAATAATAATAATAATAATAATAATAGTAATACTAATAATAATAATAATCATAGCAATAATAATAATAATAGTATATTATAGTAGGATACCTGGCCTGGTTTATGGGAGTTTGGGGGTTCGGGGTTTAGAGGTTTGGGTTTGGGGGTTTAGGGTTTGAGAGTTTAGGTTTCTCTTGGCTTAGGATAAGGTTTCCTGGTTGACTTCACAGATTTGGGTTTCGAGTCTACGGCCTGTAAACTGGTGCTTGCTGCCTGCCTGCCTCTCTCTCTCTCTCTCGCTCAGACCAGGGGAAGGCAGCTGAGGCAGCCCGATCCTGCGGCGCGACTTCACCATTTTTAAGGTTTGGTTGAAGTCGCCGGGCTCTCACTCACTGTCTTTCTGTCTCTCTCTGCTCTCTCGCCCTGCCCAGGCGCCGCGGACCCAGGGATGCCCGCCACACCGCACACGAAGTGTCGGTGTGCGTGTGCAAATTTGGGAAGTGGGGCCCCCGCCCTCGCCTTACTCTCTTGCTCCCTCTCCCTGTCTCTCTGCGCCCCTCTCCTCTCTCTGTGTTTTCTTGGGCTCAGGGTACGTACGACCAGCGGATTTACTTCCCCCCAAAGGGGAAGATGATGAAGCTGGTCCGGATCTGGGCCCCAGAAAAAAAGAAAAAGCAAAAACATAGAGCAAAATTTCCCTGTGCCCAGGTGGCCGCGATGATGAAGACACACCGATGGATCGTCGGTCCGCACCGTTTCGGGGACCACAATCCCCGGGACGGTGAGGACTGGCGTATCCTGAGGTGGCGTCAGGTCATGTGGGAATGGTAAACTCGTCGTACTTATGTAATTTATGTATCAAAAGGTAGTGGAACTTATGCAACATATGTATCAAAAGGGGGTGTTTGTTTTTTGAGTTCGAAGTCCTCATCGTGGCTGCCCGCTCGCAAGGGCTTGACATCGGCAGCATCCGCAAAGTGCGAAAGCTAGTGTCGAAACGGCTCCTCTCATCAGCCGGTGACTCTCCACCACGGTCGAGGACGTTGTGTCTCCTATGTAATTTGGGTGTGCTTAGGGTTTAAGGTTTACGAGATTCGGGGCAAAAGAGGACTACAAAGCCTGGGCTTTGTCGGTCGCCACACCCCGCACCACCTGGGGTGACGACGTGACCCTGCAGGCATTTATGGATGCCACCGGCTTTGGTGCCTTGCTTGTTCGCCGGCATTGTTTCTAATTTCGGGTTTGGTTCATTCGAAATGTTGGTTCTGTTCTTTGGAAGTGGGAGTTGTTTGTTTCAAATTTCAAATTGCTTATTGGGTTCTTTCGAAAATTTGACTTGGGTTCTTTCGAATTTGGTGGCTTGTCCTTTTGATGTTAGTCTTTCAAGGCGTGCGAGTCCATGTAGCCACGTTGGGCAACCGCCTGCGAGTCCTCTATCGGCTGCCTCAAGGGAAGGCGTGCGAGAAAGACTGTGAGGCTGTGCTGGATGTTTATTTCATCCCAGAGATCCACTACGATGCCGTGGTGCCCCTGGAGGCCAATGCAGGGTCGGTTGGTCAACGCAGTTCTCTTCATGTTCGATTCTTGTGTTGGGTTTGCATTTCTGCTTGGGTTCCTTTCGATTTCTGGTTGGGCTCTTTCAATTTCTGGCTGGGTTCTTTCGGTCGCAGGATGATGTCTGCGATGTAGACATGGAGGGAGCCGAGGGGCAGAACGAGGAGGGAGACATGGCGGCAGAGTACACAGGGCCCGTCGTCATGCTAGTGGACAAGGCTGCGTTGGCAGATGGCAAAGTAGAGCAACCAGAAGTTCCTCATTCCAAGAGGAGCTTCAACAAGCCTCCGGTGAAGACATACCGCTCCCACGGGCGCCACCTAGAGGAAGACCGCTCCTGGTGGATGGAGGGCGCCTATGTGGACCATGTGCCGAGAAGGGCCGCTTCCCTGAGCGACTCGACAGCGAAGCTGTACTTTGATCGCTTCCTGATTTTCGTCCGCTTCGTGGACGAGAGCTTCGGGATCCCGGACGACGGGGCCTCGCATCACTTCGACACCACCGAGGGGTACCTGGAAACCGGCTTCATAAGCTGGTTCATCGATTGGTACGCGAAGCATAAGAAGGTGTCTGGGTTTAGGATCTCGGCAAATTGCTAGGTGGGTTCTTTCTAGTTTGGGCGTGGTTCTTTCCAGTGTGGAGGGTTCTTTCAATTTGGGCTTGGGGCATCGATCCAAAACAGGTCAACGGAAAGCCTTTCTCCCCCGCGTACATCGGGACTCTGGTGCAGATCTTCGTGGCTCTGGGGAAAGCCTTTTTGGCTCCAGACTGGGGAGGGAGCCAGAGTCAGCGATTCCGAGACTGGCAAGAGCAGATCTCCCAGATTCAAAAAGCAGCGATCCGAACCTGGAGGGAGACCACGACCAAGATGTCTAGCAGAAGCGGCTTGGCAGCAGAAGGAAGCAGCAAAGGTTGAGCGGTTTTAGATTAGGGTTTAGAATCACAGCTTCGTTTCAAGGAACTCTTTGCAAAAGAATGCGAGGTCTTGTCGCCATGCCAGGGGGCAAGCCCGAGAACACAATCTTCCTGAAAAAAGTGAACTTCGACCTCCCCGTGTACCATTCCCACATGACTTACCAGACCTTCCAAAATATTTTAATGACTATATAGAGCTTAAAAAATAGCAGGGGTCCTACTGCAATTCCAGGTACATTTTTTCAACTGTATTATTTTGGAAGGTCTGGGTTCATCATGTTTCACTGGATTCGCCTGGGCCGCCAGCCTGCTTGCAGTCCTAGTAGCCGCTGGCAGTATGAGTGGAAGGAGCATCTCATCTAAACCCCATTCCCCGAACCCAAAGCCTAAAGGAACATCATATAGGGGCCTTAATGATTACCCATACTAATTGCTTGGGGGTCCTTCTTGTATTCATAGTATAGTGGGCCCAAAACCCTATCCTAACCAATAACGCCCCCATATTATATTCCTGAAATCCAAGCCCTGAACCCCAAAATCCCACGCCGTAAACCCCCACCCCGCATTCCCAAGCCCCAACAAGAGCAGCAGTAGCCTGGCCTGATGAATTCTGAATTTCAGCTTGCCGTTGAGGCTTTTGAGGGCACCGAGATTCTTGCGATCTTTAATCTACGATCGTATATTTGCAAAATATGTTTATACAGTATAGTTTGCGATGACATACTACAATATACTGTGATATACTTATACTATAGCTGATAACATACTATAAACCAGGGCTTAGGGTGTTTATGAGGTTGCTTGTGGCTTCGGACTTTTGTTTGGCGCTGTAGAGTGGATGCTGATTAGCAGCGTATGCCCGGGTTAGGATTTAGAATGAGGGCTTAGGGTTTTGGGTTACCGGGTTGCCCTTGCGCAGCCATGACAGCCTCACGCCCGACACCGAGGAAGTCATAGGCCTCACAGGCCTCATCCCTCTAAGGTTAGAAGTAGGGGCACCCAATATGGGTCTATATAGGGTATATAGTAGTTATTTGGGGATCTCAGGGTTAAGGGCCCATACTAGGGGCCCATGGTTTCAGGCGTTGAATCCCACAACCTGCCCTTTTCACTGCAACCCTCGGGTCTTATAGTTCATAGACGTTTGAAGTTTCGGTTTTTCGGTGTTGAAAAATTATTCTTCGAGAAACCCTTTGCTTCAACAGACCAGGAGACTGCTCGAAGATTCTGGAGGAGCTGGTTGACGTTGTGGAACTACTTGGCGCCTGGGATTTTCCGGCACGACTCCTTTGTTCCAAGGGGAAAAGGAGGGACCCTTAATAAGGATCCCTAGGTAATATACCCGTAATGTAGCCACTACAAACCCATTATATAGCCCATTATAGGGTAGGGTCCCCATTAAGGGTCCCTCCTTCTCCCCTTTGATTTGTTTTGTAGCAGCGCCATTTACCAGAAAGCCTTGAAGGCGACGACCAAAATCGTGTGGACCCTAAAGCCCAACCAGGGGTTAGGGTAACGGTTAAGGTTTAGGGTTTAGGGCAGGTCATTTCCTTATGTTTAGCCTTACCCCAAGCAACCTACCTTTTCAAGGACCTCTATCCGGAAATCATAAATAAGGAACCCCTAAAAAAGTAGGTTCTTTAGGGTCTTTGCGTGCCCTTAGAAGCCCCCAGGAGTGGAATGAATCAACCAGGGCATAGGGCTTCAAAGTTATAGAGTTCAAGGAAACTTCACAGGTTCAGATTTCTCTCACCCTATAGCCTATATGGGTGGTTGTCAAAACTATGGTCCCTTGTTCGGTACCCTAAATATTAGGTGCCGTATTATAATAAGGACCCAAAAAAGGGACCCTAATTTTGCCAACCACCCATATCTCAAAACTCCCAGATTGTCTAAAGCTTAGACCTTGAGCCTATGATTCGACGCCAACGAAGCACTTCATGGCGAAGCCCAGGATCTTATTGAAGCAAGATGCCCAAACCAATCAAAAATAACTACACGTTGACTCATTGATCGTCATCAGGACAGTAGACTATCGGTAAACACCAACAAGCCATGAACCAAAAAAGATCAAGTTATACCACCGTATGGAAAGACCCTGACCCCTAAGCCCTAAGCTAAGCCCAGCTGAAGAAGCCCGTCAGTCTGTTTGTAAACTTTCAGTGATCCCTTATCACGCCGGCATGACCCTACAACCTATAAACCCTAAATCCCTAAGCCCCGAACCTAAATCCTTAAATCCCTAACGGTTTGGGATCCTTTTAAGGAGCCCTTACGGGAACCCCTATAGATCATTTAAAGGAGCCCTAGGCACTGTTGTAGAGCCGAGGTTCTGATTCCGTTTTCGCCGCCATCCGCTCGAATGGCTCAGCCATCGTTTTTTGGCCCACTAACCCAAAGGGTCCTGGGTGCCATTATGGGGCGGATATTTCCCCAAATCATAGTAGTAGCTCCGAATGCAGAAGCCCTACATTTGATGCTACACCCTAAACCCTATTTTTAAAGGAACCCTAGGCCCTAGGTATTCCTTAATTAACGGGTACGGTATTGGGCTTTGTGGGCTCCTAGTTGTAGGCTTCCTTTGGTGTGGACTTCTTAAGTTTAAGTCTTTCGGCCTTAGCCAAGCAGTCCGCATGAGTACAACCCCAGACTGTTATAAAATAAGAAGCCTAAAAAAGTATATACTTTTTCCCAGTGGGTTACTGAACAGCCGAGAGCCGTTTTGGACTTCAAGGGTTGAGGTGTAGGCGTGACTTGGAGGATCACGGGACGCAGTAAAGAAGGTTATAGGTACCCTACTTGGAGGTTCATGTGTAGTTATAAGTTATAAGTAGGGTTTTAAGTCCCCTCATATGGGCTGTAACTATAGTTGTCCTACCCTAAGCCCTAGGATCCTAAACCCTAAGCTCTAGGATCCTAAACCCCAAACCCTAAACCCTAGGATCCTAAACTCTAAACCCTAGGATCCTAAACCCTAAACCCTAAGTTCCTAAACCCGAAGAGATCCTCCCTAAGAGATCCTGAACGGTCCTAAACCCTAAACTCAAGCCCAGGTCCTAAACCCTAAGCTCTAGGATCCTAAACCCCGAACCCTAAGTTCCTAAACCCTAAACTCTAAGTTACTCTAAGTTCCTAAACCCTAAGAGATCCTGAACGATCCTAAGCCCTAAAGTCAAGCCCAGGTCTGGGGGGGCGAGAACTGTGAGGCAACCGTACACGAGGGCGGTCGCTCTCCGACCGACGTGGCGCCCTGAAGTGGAGAGTCTTTTTTCAAAAACTAGGGGTACCGTAAAAGGGATCTATAAGGGTTCCTTAAAGGGATCTATAAGGGTTCTATAACGGGTTTATGTTTTTTTTTTTTTAAAGGGCTTGGGGCTCAGGACCTAGGGCCTCGGGCTTAGGGCTTAGGGCCTTTTAGGGTTTAGGAGTTTGGGTTTAGGGTTTGGGGTTGGGGTGTAGCAGTTAGGAAAAAGGCTTCTTACGTTCGCTTGGTACTACGGTACGACATACCATAAACCCTAGAATCCTAAACCCGGGACCTAGACCCTTGTCTATTTTCAGTCCAGGAAACTTGAACCCTACTTATCGCATCATGGGACTTAGTAAGTAGAGCTACTATTAGGGTAACTATACTTATAACCCCAATTAGGGTACTTATAACCTTACTTACTAAGTCCCATGATCCTCCAAGTAAGCCTCAGCAACCTAGGCCTTGAACCCCAAAGTCCGAGAAGCCACCACGTCCGCAACTCGAGACAGTCGCCACGGCTCGACGTGCCGTCTCACTCGACCCTGCTTCAACCGTCCGGCCCAGCGAGAAAAGACTGATGGGGGTTTTGGGGCCCTACTCTACCCTACCCTGCCGTACCGTTTCGTGTTTAGGAGTTTAGGTTGTGGCGTTTGGGGTTAAGCTTTGGGGTTTAGGGCTTAGGGATTTTCAGGGGAACCCTGAAACCCAAACTGGCACGACCGGAACGACCCCTGTGGCAATTAGCCCGATAATGGGGTAGGAAGGACAGCATATCTCTGCGGCTCTTAGGTAGTGGTCTAGGTTGTTGTCTTTTGGGGCTGAGGTTTCTTGTTGAGGGATCTCCACATAAGTATTGGCTGCCTACCTTCTTACAGGAGCAGAGCTACTGTGACTTAAAGGGCCTCTTGATTTTGAAGTAGAGTGTCTGTGGCATTATTTTGGCGACACTCGCCAGACATGGAAACTACACAGCCGGGGGCAGCAACACCAGTAACCTAGCACACAGCGTGTGAAGCAGTACCACTGCTAGCCACTGTTTTCGAAAAGGAGCAGTCAGACCATTCCAAGTATGACTCGAACAGGAGAACGGTCTGAATCAGAAAAGCAGCGCAGAGTGCAGTCCCAAGCATCTTCATCTAAACCTGAGGCTATCGCGTCTTAGGGTTTGGGACGTCTACGCTCGCTTGAACTTGGCGACAATTTCGATGACGTGCTTGTCAAGCGCCTTCGTCACGTGATCGACCTAGCTCACGAGTAGCACCCTCGTGTCCTTTCTTGATATGGTTTCCCTTCTTCACGATGAATACCTACATCCCGAAACGATCACCCCCTGCCTTATTTCCTGAAGCTTCGACACCTTCAGAAACCGTACACCGTCTTCAATCAAGAATCCCAAGAGGTACGCACTTCTCTGCTGCAAAACTGTCGCATGCAAGGCCCTAAGCGCCTGATTAGCACCCAGAACCGAAATAAACCCTAGAAAAACTTAGAGGTTTCCAGACCAGAAAGAGCGCCAAGAGAAAACCTGAGAGGTCCTCGTCTTGAGTTATAACTCATAATCCGTTCTGATGTAATTATCATACTAGATCATATTACACCATAAACCCTAAAGCCGACCTACACCAAAAATATCAGAGACTCCAATGCCCGAATATGATTTAAGGTATATGCCGTATTCTAAGGATAATGGAGTCTCTGGGCTTACGCCTACAGCCTAACCCCTAAATCCTAAACCTTAAACCCTAAACCTAAACCCTAAACGCTAGTACCTATAGGGGCCGAGGGTTCCCTTTAAAGGGATCCTTAAAGGGGTCTAATTGATTACCTAGGGTCTGGGAAAGCAGCGAAGAGAACCGAGGTGAAGAGTCGAGAGATGAGCCTGTCCGTCCTCCGGAGCGTGGCGAAAGCTCCACTTGGGGCATCCTCAACCTCGCAAAGAGTGCCCCGGCTTGCTTTAGGGGCTCTAGGGGGAGGGTTCCTTTAAGGGGGATCTTATAGGTTTCTTTTGGAAACGGATCTTTAGATAGGGATTAGAGGGTTCCCTTTAAGAGGTATTTCTAGCGCTGTAGCGCTTTGTTAAGGGCTTAGGGGTGTAGGGTTTAGTATCCCCAACCTCCCAAAGACTTACCTTTGGAGGGAATGGAAGAATGGTTGTAATCGTACCCTATTCCTCCATTCCCTACGGTTGATGATAGAAATCCTGCATTTCCCATAATAAGGAATATACTATACTTCCCATAGCTTAGGGCCCTTAAGGTAATGCAGGATTTATATCATCAACAGTACTAACCAGAGGTAAGAAGAGTGCCCCGGCTTTGGGGTTCTGGGGGCTGAGAGGGCTTAAGGTTTTTGGACTCGGGTTCAGGGTTTGCGGATTCGGGTTTGGGGTTTTGGGATTCGGGTTTAGGGTTTTGGGATTCGGGTTTAGGGTTTTGGGATTCGGGTTTAGGGTTTTGGGATTCGGGTTTAGGGTTTTTGGATTCGGGTTTAGGGTTTTTGGGTTTTTGGATTCGGGTTTAGGGTTTAGGGGTTTAAGGTTCCGGGGTTTAGGTTTTAGGGGTTTAGGGTTTAGGGGGTTTAGGGTTTAGGGTTTGTCGGGTACTAGTTATCGGCAACCTGGCAAAGGGAAAACTGGCTTAGGAATTCTGCGATTTAGCAATTTGAGTCTGCGGGCCTAGACTTTTGTAAGATTTTGGCAAAAACCCTAAACCCTAAACCCTAAACCAGAGCTGTGGCTTAGGATTCTTGGCAGGGGCTTCAGCATTGGGGGCTCAGGGGTTGAGATTTGAGGGTGTGGTTTAGGGTTTGGGGTTCGGAACTAAGTCTCCTTAGGAATTGATATTTTGTGTTTGTTCATATAAAACCCAAGAGAATGTTAAACCTACTATTTTTAGTATGGTTCTAAGGGGAGTATAGGGAATTGGACCCCGAAGGGAATTAGGCATGAAACAGCTCAGCTGTTAGAGTCATATGTAGTTCACACTTTCCGAACCTGGACGCACATCATCTGTTCAGCCCGATGCCCGACTCGTAAGTACTGGAGTTACCGAGCCCGAAGCTCTGAAAAATCTTCGCCGTGAAGCCCTAAACCCTAAACCCTAAACCCTAAACCCCTAAACCCTAAACCGTAGAGCCCAGGAAACTCGTGGGAGGAGACGATCGAGACAAAGTACCTGAAGACCTTGCTCAAGGGTCTTGAAGATTCGACGCAGGAACGTCGGCGCGTGATTCGTTTATTGGTGGTGTCGGGTTAGCTGTGCATTTGGCAGGCATGCTCGCTCAGTCTTTTGTTTGCTTCGAGCGGTCAGTGCGGTTTAAGAGGAACCAGGCAATAGTTCTTCGATACATGACGTCTACTGTACCTACTACGGAACGAGGAATCTGCTCAATCCAGGACCGCACACTCCCAGCTCGAAGCCCTACCTTGACCCTGAAGAACCGACCTTTTTGAGGACTTATTTCAGGACATCATATTAGGGAACCCTAAAAAGGGAAGGTTCTTCAGGGTCCAGGTAAACCCTAAAGCCTACAGTAGAGGCTTCCCCTGCTCTTGAACACTGCTCTGGAGAGCCTCAGCTCTTCCGTCAGGACCTCTACAAGAAATGGGGCGGAGATCAGGAAGATGGCAGCTGGACCGGAAAAAGTGGAGGTGTACAGAAATTAACCTCCAAGAAGTTGGGACAGGTGGGTTAAGGAGGATTGGTGCCCGGGTTCCGTTTTGTTTAGTTGTAGACTGTAGGGTGTGTTGATAATTATGTTCCGACTGTCTGACACATATGTGAGATCGGCGTCCCGAGATGTATGGCTTGGTTCTAGAAAGCTGGTCGGGTAATGTCATGTCGGAGGCTAAACAATCCTTAGGTTCCTCGGGAAAGTAACAATTAAGGTGGTACAGGTGATGGCGAAAGTGACGGGGAAGGGGCAAGGGAAAGTATGATCGTGCTGGTGATGGTTTTGTAATGGTCAAAAGGTTGATGAGGACAAGGTCGTGATTGTGATGCAGACGTCATATGAATGCTGCAAAAAAGAGACTCATGGCGGTAATTGTTGAGGAAAGATGGGATGATGAGAGGGGTCGATCATTTAACAAGAAAGTTATGGCACTCCCCTGAAGCCTCAGCGACAGCAGAACTGGCAAGCCCATCATGTGCCCGCCATCGCCCTAACATCCGGGAGTCAGCCAAAACCTGCACAAAGAAGCTCGAGCAAAGCGTCCACATCCCTAACCCCAAACCCCATGCAACTGAGGAAAGTTTGTGGCAGAGCTGAAAGAGGCCGCCGATGCAGTTGCCCCAGCACGAGATTTCGACTTCAGTCAGGGCTTCCACACCGGAAACGGCCCCCGATGTATCCCCACAGGGTTTGGGTTTGGGGAGTTAGCGCTTTGCGGCTCTAGGGCTTGCTTGGAGTTGAGGGTGTACGTAAGCTGGGAAACCGGCCCTAAGCCGTAAACTGCTGAACTTCAAAAGCAAGCAAGCGAAGTGATACAGGATTCCGAGGTTCGTTTCTGTGGGCGTCAGGATATGGGGTTTGGGGATGTACAAACGTCCTATGAACCCTAACTAGGGACCCAAAAAGGCACATAAGCATAAGCATTTTCTAGGGATATCCCGACCTTACTGGGCTTCCTTATAAGGGGGCTTATATGGGATATCCCTATCCTAATTTTTTGCTTATGTGCTTTTTTGGGGCCCTACTAACTTCTTTGGTTTCATAACATCCTTTCCCGGAAACCTGTTGCAAAAGACCCGCTCTTCCACAAGCCCCAAACTCCCAAAATCCCTTGTAAGGCCCACTATAGAATCCGGAATGGAACTCTTCAAGGAACCCGTTAAAGCCGCTCTTCCTCAAAAGCTCTTGAGGCCACGGAGATCCAACCCTAGCGTCTAGGGTGGTTTGGGATTTAGGGTAGAGTCCTGTAGGCGTCTCGGCTCAGATATTGCATTTGGCTGTCTCCTTGATTCAGCCATTTGCATATTAGGTGCCAGGCCCTAGCGTTTGCTCTGCCATTCGCGTCGCCTCCAGTCTGGGGACTGGTTGCAGCTGCCCTTTGCTGGGCCTGCACGGTGCTCTGCACCCGCCCTCTACTGTGAGCGGCAAGGCCTTTTCTTTGACGGCTGGCCCCCGTCCGCCCTCTGCTGTGAGTGGCTACACTGGCCTTTTTCCTCGGCGGTTGGGCCCCGCCTGCGCTGTCGCTGCAGTTGACTCTGCCGACAGGCGTGTGGATATTCTATGGGCAGTAGGAGACCCTATTTCCTCCTACTGCCACTCTTTGCCCTTGGGATTTTCCTTCTGTGGGCAGGCTCCTGTGGACCATTCCTCGGCAAGGCGAACCTGGCTGGCACAGAAGGAAGCGCCACCAGCGTCGCAAGGCGAGAGCTCGCCTACACGCTGGCCGCGGACAATCACAGGACATCGAGCTTCTCCGCTCGCATCACGGATCGATGCCACCGAAGACCCCAGCCAGGGAAAAGCAAGGGAAGGGCGGCGGCAAATCTGGCAAAGCAGAAGGGCCACTCCCGTCTACATCGCAGGTGCAACTTGGGTTCCCTGCGGAGGTGATCACAGCTCTGCAATCTCTCCGAGATCGGGCCACATCCGACCTGCGGCTCGACGACTATACGGTTGCAGAGGATCGCACGCTTATCCAGGCGGCCAATCAACAGGCAGCCGCAAGCGCCTGGAGGCGAACTCCCGGGCGAAAGTGGCGCTGGGGCAGGTCTTGGGACTATGGCTCGACCGGGTAGGCCGCCACCTTGCGGCTGTTCCTCGACAGATCAACAATGTGGGTGCACTCGACGCAGCATCCCAAGGGCTGGTGGCAGGGCAGGCTGCCCTCCTGCGCCAGCAAGCCGCGGAAGCCATGGGGCCACCGATCGCGACCATGGTGGGGAACGAAGTGCTCCGCATTGCCGCCGAGCTAAGAGCAGCAGCTACAGTGTCGGCAGGCAGCTCTGCCATCCTACCGATGTCAGGCGGGCACTTCGGCTTCCCGGACAACACAGGTGCAGGCCCTGCAGACCTCCACGCCACCATGGACCTAGGCTTTGGTGGGGTTGGAAACCTTGTGGAGGATGCCCTGATCGAGCCGACAACACGATCGCACGTCCCGCCAGGAAACCCCGCAGCTGCATCGGGGCGCCGGTGGGCTCTGAAGAGGGCGACAGACCCGGCGGCCTCCAGGCCATCCAAAAGTCCCAGGCGGAGCGATCCCCTTTCGGACAATGCTGGCACGGCCGAAGGGTCTGCGACGCCATGGCCCAGTGCTGCCACAAGTCGATCGCCGCTGGGCCACAAGCCAACGCCTCTGTCCAGGCCAGGGGATCTCAAGACCCAGCTGGATGCAAGCGCCGACCCATCTATGCCGAACCCTCCGGAGCCTACTGGAACCCCTGGTGCAGCACCGGTGCCAGTGGAACTGAAGGACTCGGCTCAGGGCGAACTGGACTGGGTGGAGACGCAAAGATCGTGGCTCCAATCCTGGATCGCTGTGGTGCAACGCTTGGCAGCTCAGGGTCGCGACCTGGTAGGGGACGTGCCCCAACCGCCGGACCAAGCAGCCCTTCCGGGGCGTCCAGCCACAGATGCAGAAATCTCAAGTTTCCATGGCATCGCAGAGGCCATCTGAAAAACTTTGCTGGAGCATGCGCAAGACCCCGACTCGGTCACTGGCCCTCGCATCCTAAACATGGTGCAGGATGTCCAACACTTGGGGGGGATGGTGCATTCCCAGCCTGTCTTGGTTATCTCTTGCAGGCAGGGAGTCATTGCGTTGGCGCACCTCCTCAACTCGCGGATTCTGGGTCTGGACGGCTTCGCTCCGCAGACGCTGCAGGAGTGGGCAAACCCCCACGAGGTGCTGGGACGTGGCTTGACACCGCATGGGCACCTCGCTACGGCCAAGACGGACGACGAAGCAGAAGCCGTGCTCCTCGACCAGGACTGCCCGTTTTTCTGAATCAGCTCGAGAGGAAGGTTGTACAGGTCTTCTGGATTCTTTGTACAGCTGCAATGACAGTAGCACTGATTTCTTGGGTAGCCGTTGTCTGTGCGGAAGCTGGTGTCCCTCGGCTCGTCACTCTCTCTTTTGGATTTCTTCGGCCTTCTCTCCTATGGCTGTGGCGGGCCCCTTGGATTTGCCTGGAACCTCTCTTTCGGGTTCGGTTTAATCTCTGCCCCAAGCACAGGATCCGCGCTCCACGTCCCCGCTCAGGTAAAGGCATTGCCCTGCTTTGGCTGATTGCTTCTGCACATGTTGCTGACTGCCGTGTGCCACCGTATCCTGCTTCGGTTCATGGCACGGCTACGGGCGCTCCTGCACCTGCTGCAGCTACCAACTGGCCTGCTGAGTCCACCTCTCTGGTCCAGGTGACGCATTCCCGGCGCTTTCGAGGGGACTCTATCCTCGCCGTGCAACCGGTGCCTCGGGTGCAGCATCTACATGAGCTTGAGATTCCCATCATGCACCCGGCAGCCGGGGCGGACAACCCGCATGCTGCGGGTCCCAACCACCTCCGTCCAGTGGCGGTTTTCGTGGCTGGGCACCAAGCCGGGGGACCCACCACGGTTGCAGTGGACGTGCGACTGCACGGCATGCAGATGCATCGGGTCCTGCTCCAATTGCTCGGGTTGTCATTCCAGCTTTGGCATGTTCATGAGCTGCAGACCTTGCTACCCAGCCTGCCTCCTGAGCAGGTCGTGGTCGTGCCGAATGAAGTTGCATGGAACCAAGCTTGCATCCCAGTTGATCTGTGTGCACTTGGCGGGGGGTATTCGGTTGTGCGAGGACCGCGTCAGCAGCTTGCGAGCTACTTTCTTGTAGCTGCAGCCCGGAGTCAAGACCTCCCACTCGACCTGGGCCGCACTGTTTGCCTCACCAGGCATGGGTTCTTTGATCCTAGCTGCCAAGCCCTTTTGCTTCACGGTAACGACGCCTTGCAAGCTCTGCCGGTGTATGATGTGGAGTATAGCCTGGAGCCACCCACTTCAAGCACGACGTCACACCGTCTGGCGCTCAGCTCCTCCAGCGTGCCATCACAAGGCCTGGACGACCTCCCCAATCCATGGCAACGGGCAGCGGTTATCACCCTCAATGGCCTTGTCTTTTATGACACGGATCCATTTCAGGATCGGGAAGGGCTATTGCGGTCCGCTTACTTAGCAGTTGAGGATACCACCCCTATCTTCCTGCTTCGCGTCTACCCTCCCATGCCAGGACTACCGCCAGTCCAGTTTGTGCAAGCCATAGCATCCGCATGGCAAACCACTTATGTTGTTGATGCAAGGCCCGTTGGAGGCGAAATCAACATCGTCTACCTAGGGCCGCGGGCACCGGTGCGCGATGTCCTCCTGCAGCTGCCCACATATCGGAGTGTCGGCCCTGTTGGCTCGGATCTTGTTGCACGCATCCGTGAGGGAGAGCTACGTGCCCTCTTTCGGGAAGCTGAGGTTGGTGTCGACACTGCCTTGCCAGGCCATGCGCCCTTGGCTATCCTCATCGCACCCGGACGCAACCGACCGGGCCCAAGGCAGCCCAACAACTCCCCTGCTGACCCTAGTAACTCCCAGTCCGACACCCTACCACACCCTAACAGTGCCAGCGCGGGTTTTTCTGGGTTCCTAGCTACTGGTCTGGCTCTCGTGCGTGGCAGCGGCTGGAAGGGAGTGTTGGCCTGGGTTATAGGCTCCCTTTACGTTGATGCCACAGGTAGGGCGCAAAGTCTGCCAGCGGATCCTGATCGTGCTTCTAGGGCCGTGCCTGCACCGAATGGCCGTCTGGAAGTGGTGTATCATGATGCAGCCACGCACCTTCGTGTACAACAGACCATTCTGTCAGGCTTTGAAGGTGACTTCATGCCGATTGTCACAGGGTTCGGCTCACTGTTCCATTCGGTTGAGCTCCGCGTCTGCTTGTGGGCGCCGGACGATTTCGAGGAGTTCAAGTTCCCAGGCTCGGCCTCTCGGAATCTCCTCATGTCACGGCTCACTGAGACTGCCAGAGGATGGGGCAGGGGCAATGTGGTGGCTGCCTCCTTTGCACCCAGTGCACTGGCCATTCATTTTGTGGCTGTGACCACAGAACCCGGATTCGCACGGTCCTTTTTACCACAGGTACCAACTGCGCCTGCCTCGATGTCGAGAGAGACCCTCCGCGAGACTCTCTCCTGCGGCTCTGCTCCGACCGCCTGAAGTCAGACTGCATCCGTCTGCTGCCTATGCCAACGCCTCTCCGGCATGGGGATGTAGTTAGGGTTGAGGCTGATTTTGACTTCAACGGGGCCGATGTTAGTCGATTTCTGCTTTACGCGGAGAGCCTGAGCCCATCCCGCTGGCTTGCATCACCGGCTTACAGGCAGTTGGTCGTGCTCGGGAAACGAAATGGGGTTTCCATCCTGCATGATGCTGACCTCTCCCGATCGGCCTTCTGCGCCGCCGAGGAATGGGTACGCGAATGTCTCGGGGCCAGGCCTGTTGTGCGGGAAGTTCCTGAGCTCTCTGGATTGCTTGGATTCCCCTGCTTTCAGTCAGTGCGCATCGGGCACACCAATGCTGTCCTCTGGCTACACGACCACTTTGGCTCCTGTGACACTGGTCTGGCCTTTGCGGTAGAGGGCACCTTCTCGTCTGCTGTGGATGTTTTCGAAGCTTGTGCAAGATCCTCCTCCACTGCCAGAGCAGTCTGCAGCATAGTGTCTAATGCAGACCTCCGCACGGTTCGCACTGTCCATGGGGTGTTTGCCGATGCCAGTAACACCCGCACATTGTATGTGCAGATGGCTTTTGATCTGCAGGCACTCCCAGGAGGTTGCTTTTCTGTGTTCCGGCAGCGGGCCACCCTCATTGGCTCACGGGCCAAGTCGGGCCGTACCCCATCTAGAGGGCGACATGGCCCAGCTACCACTACCAGGTCAGGTTCAGGCTCAGCCAGAGGGATGCGTAGATCTGCTACCCCGGTTCGACCCCAGTGTCGTCCCTCGCACCTACAAACTACCGAAGGCGACCTCCAGGTCCTCCATTGTGACGAACAGGACGTGACCTGCGTCATTAGGTGCGGCCCACACATGCAAATCTGGGCATTGAACGTTGAGGGCATTTGGCTTAGTGCTTGCACTGCTCATTTGTCCTGGGAAGCAATTGCTTCTGTCGGGGGAGCTTCATCCTGGGACATTGCTGATCTTACCGTTGCCTCGGGGCAGCTTTGGTGGAGGTACCCGCAGAATTTGGAGGACGCGTCGGGGAAGTGCTTGCACCTGCATCAATCGTGCGCTCCATGTTTTGCTAATCCGTCTCCCCCGCCTGCCCCGGTGTTGACCGGGACCGCCTTCGGCCTGGTTAGTGCCCTCTCTGCCGGCAAGTTCTCGTGGTGGCTCCCTGTCCTGTGGGCCTTGTCAGCGGAAGCCAGGCCGGGACATCGTGCAGCCACCTCATCCGAGGGTTCGGCTAACGATAGCACCAGTGATGGCAATGCGTCCTTCCCTGTCTCCACGGTTGCCCTTGAGGACCAGCACGACCACTGCTACGATCCGCCACAAGGCTGGGCTATGCAAGCCTCGATTGCAGCAGGAAATTTCCCGGTGGAGGCCGACCGGCTGTATGGATGGCTGTGTTCCCTCACTCAAGAAGCACATGACATCCGTCTTTGGACACCTTTGCGAGGCCCTTCTCTTGTCAGTTGGAACACACTGCACCCAGCCTCTCTCGCTACCGGTCTTGCCGCAGGGGGGTTTCGCCCCGAGCAACATGACTTGTATGTCGCTTGCGACACGGATCCCTTCACTCTCGAGCTGATTGCTGTCCCCAGGGGTCAAGGCTACTGGTGGATTGTCCGGGATCTGCTCAGTCGAGAACTTTTGCGGCCAGTTGCTAGGCTCCCATGCGCGGGATGCCTTATTGCAGCCACTGTGAATTCTGCCGGAGAGGTCAATGCTTTGGCCCATCACAGCCGTATTGCCGTCTGCCACTCCCTCCCGCAGGGCTGCCGTGCCACTGTTGTCAACCCTGTGGACGGCTTCACCGGTGTGCTTGGGCCTGCCGGACTAGTCCTTACAGCAGGGCTGGCTGGGCCGCGCGGTTGGCCTGTCTGGGCACTCCTCCTGACGGCTACCGTCACCTTGGCACAGGCTCGTGTCTCGGCTCCGGGCGTTGGTTGGACCATGCCCTTCTGGGCATCCTGGGGCCGCACCTCTGGTGGGCCACTAGGTACCCTTGCCATGCAACAGGCTCAGCTTACCCCGGCCAGGGTATATACGGCCATCCGCATCTGGGTTGTTGACCACTCTTCTCCCATGTACTTAGCGGGACCACCATGGCCTTCAGAGGAAGAGATCCACAATATCGTCCAGCTCTGTGGGTACGGGGTTGCTAAGGGGACTTTAGTGGCTGTACGGAGCCCGCCTGGACAAACTGTCTATGAAGCAATCTATGCTCCGGCCCACTTCACCTCCGCTGGGATCTCAGTCTGTTTGGTGCAGCTTGAAGGTAGGGCGGCAGTTTTCTCCTTCGAGTCATCCTTGTTTGATTGGGGCGTCTTTGCTCGTTGGTTCCGTGACACGTTCCGGGAGGACCATGCACATCCCCAAGCCCTATCCTTCCGCATTGGTAACTGTGGCTACACTTTTGGTCAGGCTGTGCAAGTTCGCAATGGGGAACACCTTGTGCTTGCTGAGGCCCGCCAACAGTACACTTCTTACCTCCCCCCTCCTGACCCGTGGTCGCAAGACTCAGCCCTTCTGCCACACCCACATCTGCTGCAAGCGGGCCCCCTTCGAGAAGCGCCTCTTGTCGCGCTACTGACACAGCCCACGGTGAGCCCCGGCAATAATACTGCTAGAGCGTGGAGGTGGGTTGTTCAACCCGGTGGTGCGGCTGCCCGCTCACCACTGCTTGCAGCGGGCCACCAACCTGCAGCTGCTGTCGCGCCACAGGCGCTGCCAGGCCTTACGGGGGCCAGCCTTTCGCCTGGCCCCGGTCGCACATGTCCAGGCCTGGTGACCCAAAGTCATGCGAGCTGCCAGACCGATCCAGGAACAGCGACCACATCTGGTGGGCCATTCAAGATATGCAGTGTCAACTAGCAGCCCTGGCCGCACAAGCGCATGTGCCCCCGGCGGAAGGTCTTCCACAAGCGGGGACAGGAGCTTTCCAGGGACATCAGGCAGCGCAGGCTCCCGCGCCAGTGCTTCCAGGGAAGCAAGACCATTCTGGCGCAACACAAGGTTGCCACAGTCTTTTGTGGCGCAGTTTGGGGTTGGCTGCACTCTTGTTTCGCGGCTTTCCACGACCAGGAGTCCTGCTTAGCCTTTGCGCAGCCATTGTGGTTGCTGCCCCAGATGGGGCTGCCCCAGAACGCAGCCGCTCTAGATCAGCTGACCCTGCGCCTGCTCAGTTGTGCTTCCTGCGAGACGACGCTCAGGGCCGTCCTCTCGGCTCCACCGGACACCTGCGTCATGCACACCGGTTGGAGCATTTCCCTGGGTCCCCTGCCGCGGCGGCCGTGGCCGATGATGACAGAGCCCGCACGACGGTTCCGGGCCCTACAGGCGCTGATAGCGTGGTCCGCTCTGCTTCGAGTCGCGACATCCTGCAGCTGCAACAAGCCCTGCTACATGGGTGTCCCGGGGTTGAAGTTGCTACGGCAGTTGATCTAGACCACCTTCGGGTGCCGATTCGGATTCATAGCCCCTTCTCCCCTGGTTCACCTGCCCCGCTCCAGCTGCCACCGGTGGGTAATGGCTGCTTTCCACCATGGCGCCTTCTCCAAGATTACGCCCGCCTGCATGGGTGGACGCGCCTGCGTCCTGCCCAACCACAGCCAGACACATGCGCACTACACTTCCTCCCAGCTGCTGTGGACCCTTTGCGTTCGAACGTCCTGTTGAAGGGAGATGGCGATCGTCTGTGTCCTGTGTCACTTCCCACGCATCTCACCCAGGAAGACACACAACACTTGACACTTGAAGGCTCCAGGATCCGGCTCCACCAGTCACTCACGGACGAGCCTTGTCATGATGCGGTCACACTCCATGATGGAGCCTGCATGCGGTTTTCGTTCGCAGGCCCGCCGAGACCGCAACCCGTTCAGGTCCCGACATCGGATGCTAGGTCACCGCATCCCTCACCTGTGCTCCGTGCTCTGGCGGGCCTGGCTTTGCCAAGTCGGCTGAGATGGCTCGCCTTCATAGCTGGGGCTGCTGCTATGTTCGAACCCAGAGCTACTGGGCCCGTTTTTGTGCCGTTGCCAGACTACGTCGGACAAGGACTTCATACCGACCTTGTCCGGGTGGGGCGTTTCCCATGGAGGACTGATTTTGACACGGCGAACCTGTTGATGGTGGTTGAAGGCAGGCAGGTAAGGGTAGTATGCCTAAGCCCTTTCTGGGGGGCAGGTCATGTCACGGTGGTTGAGGCTGAGGCCTCCTGCACACACTCCTTTGGACGAGCGGATCGTGACAGGATCCTGTGGGCGGATGGGTACGCGCCGGTCTGGCCCTCCCCGGTTGCCTGTGAACTGGCTGTTGTCCCCACTCCGCCAGACCCAACTACCGTGTGCATCGTGGCACGGGTTTGGCATGCCACTGTGGCCCTTCTGCTACCACGGGTAGTCACTGTGGAATGGCTGCTGCGGACGCTGCGCCATGCCTTCGGGCGACATGCCCTTACACTTGCGCTCCCGCCGCAGCTTAGACGACAGGCTACTGCGGCTACGTCCTACCTTCAGCTCCGGTCCGGTGATTATGTCCTTGCCATCCCTGAGACAGCACGGCCTGGCACAACCGCCACAGACGATGAGTCTTTTGTGCGCCATGCGGTTGCCTGGAGTTTGCCTTTTCAGATCCTCACTCCGATCCGACTGCGGCTCTGGAGACCGGGGCAATCCATGCCGCAGCAGCTCGAACTACCTCAAGGTGATACGTGGGATCCGGACTTCTTGTCCTTTGCTTCGTTCTCTCGGGCCCATGTTGCTGGCTCCTGGGTCCCTGTCCCCTGGGTCAGCGACGAAATCCCCAATATGGTGTGCACTGCGAGCCATGGGCGAGAAGCCACCGTTCTCCATGAACGTGATGGCCGTTGCTGTTGTCTCAGTGTGGATAACCCGAGCTCGCTCGAGTGCTTGGCCACAGTTTTGTCAGCAGCCCCTTCCACTGTCCAGGTGTTGGGCCTTCACATCCATGCCGACCGGCCCATCGCACTCCGCGACGGTGACATCATCATTAGTGCACCAGCCACCCCCACCTCGTCGGACCCTGAGACTGCGGCCTTGCCAAATGCCATGAGCGGAGCTGACTCCAGCTCGGTCTGCAAACTCGTACCACCTCTTGGGGTTGCCCTTTGTAGTCTCATCCCCCGAGGTTTCCCACAAGGACTTTGCCTGCTGGTTACCTTAGGCGGCGTGGGAGCGATGGACCCAGAGGGGCAAGATGACTCTGAGTCTGCCACTCGGCCTCGCTCTCGTTCTCCCCCTCCGGGCTTCCTTGCATCTACAATGACGTCACCACCGGGACAGTTCGATGCTGTCCCACTCGATGCCCTGCTCACGGGAGAAGACCCTAGCGTGTCAGTTGTCCAGCTATGGTGCCCTTTTGCGGGGGTCAGCGCACCTACAGCTGTCAGCCTGGCCTCGTTTTGGCAACAGGTGGAGACCCTCGCCACCGTCCACTCGCCCATAGGGTCCACTGGAGCCAATGTCTGTAACCCCCCCGTCAGACAAGGGACACTCCAGTTAGTCACCAGAGCTCCTGAAGAGTTTGTCACTGTCCTGGTGGAAGGGCTGGGGCAAATCTTCGCCATGATGCTGCCGGCAGTTATCACGTATGATGCCCTGAAGACCACAATGACTATCCGCGTTGGTGTACCGGTCAAAATTGGGGCACCACTCCCATGCCTTATCTCCGGCAACGCTGATTTTAAGCTCTACCTGCGTAACGGGGATCGGTTGACGATAGGATTGGCTTCCTCTCACCCCTTACGGTTGGACCCTTGCTGCCCGTGGTTTTCCACTTGGGTTGAGGCCGGTGTCGCTGCGATCTGGCACGCCC